ATTTAGATTCGAATTATCGTATTTAAAAAAATTAATTTCGAAATACCTACGAACAGTATTGACTCGGAACGTATTGAACTTCAAGAGTTTTAAGTGAATATGGAGAAAACCAAACCGTGAGTAATGCTAGAGAATGAATGAACGTTATGTTCGCCTTCGCACTTTAACGTTCTTACATAAGTGTGCAAAAACCGTTTTCAAATGAATGTTACCCACAACTTATTCTTATTCAAATTAACTAACACCTTATTCACATAAACATACAAAACAGTCACCTTTTAATGTTAGATTGGTATGTAACGCTAGATTCGCATACAAAATGACAAATAGAGCAATTACAGAAGATCTGAACACAAATTACACTGAATTTGTGAAGTTTTGATCTCTTCACAAATTAGGGGAAAGAAGTATGGAAGTGTTAAAGATATCCGGGGAAGAATGAAATGTAGTTGTAAGAGATGTCGTTTTATAGAATTTTAGGACTAATTTGGAATGATCTATATTTTCGCATTTAGGATTTGTGCTATTGCAAATGTGGTATGTGCTGCATATTACAAAAAAAGCGTAAAAATGTAGCAGTACTAAAATTTAACTATTAGCATCAAATCCTGCAAGTATTTGTTACGGCGATTATCATTTTGAAATTGCAATAAAACTAGTTCATATCCCATATGGAGGTAACACACAAGACCATTGGGTGCTGGGAACTTTTGAACGGTAGTATAACATTATCATTGGTAATTCCAATGCCAAATACTTAAAGAACATATTTAGACAAAGCTGGGAATGACAGAAATGAAGTATGAAAGAAATTTCACATGAAACTATTTTTAAAAACGTTTACACCATTAGCGCTGCCATATTTTGTTATTTATTCATTGTTTTAACTTTTACAAAACTGTGATTATGGAAATTATTAATCCACGAACAAAACATCGAAAACGTTAAACCATCGAGCATAAAACTTCTATGTTCGAAAAACATCACCTCAATACATGGATGTTTAAAATATTGATATTTTCATAGAAACATGGATTTTTCAAAACATCGTTATCGATGTCGCATCCCTAGACGGAACTTCCGCCGGGCATGGTCACTCAGGGCGGCAACTGATGGTTCTGCGGTGCCACTGAGCGAGAGGGCTGAGGGCAAGATTTTCCGCACTAGATACATTACTTTGCTTTCTTTCTTTTTTCTTCTTTTTTTTTCTTGGGGCCTGTGAGGGCCTGCCTTCACGATGGAATATCTCAGCATTTCGCGGCTGTCTCGGTCGTGCCGCTAGATGTCGCATGATCGCCAGCACTGCTCTATACGTTCGCGATCATGAGACATCTAGCAACACGACTGAGAAAGATGCGAAATGCCCTGCCAGATATTCCATCGTGAAGGCAAGTCTTCGCGCGCCAAGAAATAAAAACCCAGGTATGGCTAGGTCGAATTCAGTCGCTGTCTGGTGGAGGATTGAGGGGTTGGATGAAAGTAGAATTTAACTCGAATTATGGCGTTTATCCGTGAAACGTTTCAAAACATTTTGTACGTGTCACCTCTCCTGATGGTACTCCACGAACCTCAATAATACATGACATCTGAGAGGTTTTTGAAATTTCAGAATTCGCATTTTTTCGTAACATCGTTACTTGTATGATCTTGTATCATTTTGATTCCCGGTGTCTAGCACATCAACAGGATGACTGTGAATACTAAAGATGTGAATTTGTCTGATATATCTGATTTTTCATCGAATGATAGTGAATTTAAGCTAGCAAATTATAGTAATACATGTCATGCTTATTTACATAGCGTTGAAGATAAAAATAAAGGAGATAAAGATAAAAACTTTTCCGGAAATCAGAAAACTAGAATTAATGAATCTTAATTAACCTAGATAAAAATTTAAATTATTTTCAATTACTAAAATTAACAAATACATGCATATTTTTATAAAATAAAATAATTTATATGAAAATTAACTTGTTGTGTGGAATAAGGAGCATAAATTAACATTTTCAAATTAATTTAAATTCACATATTTGAGCATTTTGTGTGCTTAATCGGTTACTAGTACGATGTTCTGTGCGATATGTACGTATTTTTTCAAACATTTATGTAAGACATACAGCTTCTAAACAGTTTTTCTAATCTCAAAACTGTGTTTTCAGAATTACACACTTCTTCCATCCAACCCCACAGTTATAGTGGAAGGATAGGAAAAGTCTGTCTGTCTTTCTCTCCCTCACTGTCTGTCTCTCTTTCGCTCTCTTTCCCTCTCTCTCTCTCTCTCTCTCTCTCTCTCTCTCTCTCTCTCTCTCTCTCTTTCTCTCTTTCTCTCTTTCGGTGGTCAACACTATTGCCTAAATTTTTCAAACAATATTTTCCAAAATTGGAATTTTCCGATCGATCTGGACGAACACGTGGCTCTGTGATTTTGAGACGGGTATTTTGGTTTTGGGGGGTACTTTACATACATGAAGCCTTAACAACAGTATAAAAATTACTCCAATAAAAGACGTAGATTCTCACTACACAGTATGTCAGAACAAGTAATTTACTATTTACACGAGCAAAAAATAGTACAAAACGAATTTCCCGATGAAAAAACGGCAAGGGATTGTAAATTTTTCATTGCAACTTTACAACTGTTTCCCTATATTAGGTAGTAGTACAGAGGAAGAAAAAATTACATTAATGTTTTAAGTTTTGTATTGAGTGGAGCTTTACTCTGAGAATATGGCCACTCAAAACAGACCTTCAGTCAATGTTGCGTTCGTACACCTCGATTTAGTCTCACTGTCTTCGCATCGACTTACCCCCTCCCCTCCCCCGATTTGTCTTCAACTTTCACACACATTTTCCCTTTATGGTACGCAATTGGAGGTTGTCAATTACTTCACCTCATTCCTCAGCCATCTGCTGATTTTGGCGAGTGTTTTCACTTTTAAAGCCTACATTGAGTTCGAAATGATTGTTCATCTGCAAAGTTAGAGATATTTAGTATTCATAAAGTGCTTTAAATTACTCAAACATTCAAGATGAATTTTTTGTTTATTTTATTGTTTCCTAATACAACTCTAACTGAATGTATATTAATTTAAAAAACGATTTTTATTTATTCTAGAGGTATACAGTACACAGTACCCTTGTATTCTAGAGGTGTATATGAATAGAAAAGTGCAATAGTAATTTGAGGAAAATTTACAGATTGACACATTATGAAAAGTCGAAGTATGTGACCCCTAAATACTCCTTGATACCAAAATGATTTTGCAATCCAAAAATGAATGAAACTTATTTACATTTTTTTTCTGCATTATTCCTCAGAAATGAAATATTTACTCTGAAATGTGAAATATTAAATCTCTATTAAAATGTTTATACATACGAAGTATTTTATTTATATATTAAATTAGTTTCACTAATTTATCATTTAAATGTGTTTAAAGTTTCCTGATTTAGAAACACGAAATACCATAAAGCTATATTTTGTTTACAGAAAAAATATATTAATTTATACTGCACATGAATTCACTTCTGTGTTTATTCCGTATCTTTTTTGCGTCAACAACGCGATGTGCAAACATTCACATATGAGCATATTCAATTAATTAAAAAAGTTTCATTAATTTGATAGATAATTAACATAAAAGATAAATACGTAATTCTTCTTGCAGCTTGCAACTGATAATTTGCTCTAGAGAATGCACTGGAATAGTTAGTGCTACTGTAAGTTTCAGTTAAATGAACTGAATCCAGAATATACTTTTAAACAATTATTTTTCTGAAATAATCAAATCCTGAGTCTTTAGTTTTCACAGAACCATTATCATACAAGTTCATTTTCTAAAACATACATTTGTGAATAATTTACAAAAAGAATTATAAAAATACATCAATTTGTGGAGAGGGTATGTCGGAAGTAGCCTGCATTTTGGCCAATTATTTATAAACATAGAAAATGTTTTGAAAAAGTATTTAATCTCTAAGAGCTCTTACTTTTTTAAGGTAGGCAGCTGTCTTAAAGTAAGAAAATTATTCTGACGAGACAAAAGTAAAAAAAGTGATACTGTTTCCGAGATAAACTTAGAAGTATCAATACCTAACATATCTAGAAATTCAACTTTGAAACAAAATACAGTATCTTACAAAGCAAGTATTTCACACAAGAAAACTGACCTCGAGGTAATAAGTAGGTGTATGTACAGTTCATTTTATTAGAATGTTCACATTTAGTGAAACGGACATTACGATACCATGTGTTTATCAATTTACAGTGTACGTAAAAACGACCAATGCCTTCTAAAACATTCCTTTAAATTAACGGGAATATGTAACTCGTTGCAGATCTTTTATCAAATATCATCTACACTCACACAAAGACTAGGAAATAATTGACCAAATATTGTTTGATATGAAATATTCAAATTATTGTTTCAAAACCCAACTCTATTCTGCTTTGGGGCTTTATTTTCTGAAAAAAGTAATAGTTTGTATAAATAACAGATTCTTCTCATACCATACACAACATTTTAAAACAAAAATACATTTTGTTAAAAGCTACCTCAGGAACAATTTCTCATTTTCCCAACAAATTATGCTAGAAAAATCGAGAAATTATGTAATTTATTATGACAGTTATTTGAATGTCTAGAAATGCCATTCAGTAGAAAACTTTCTCTATACTACGTTTATTACTTCGTATATACGTATGTACACAAATAATGAGGTCTATTCAGAAGCACCATGGCTAGAAAATCAAAAGCGTCATTTCCAAAAATAAATAATTTATTAACAATGAATAAGCTTACAATCTTAATGTATAATTAATATAAATTACCTTAAATAGGGTTATATTATAGACATCATAAACAATCAGCTTGAACATCTTGACAATTTTTGAACGGTTGTGGTCTAAAAACGGTTGTCAATGCATTGTGAAATGGAACTGAAGCTCGTCACTTGTTACTTTAAATAGCACGCTGTCGTCGGAGAGACTTTCTTCTCAGTTAACCCGCTTCTTCATCTCCTTCCTCTTCGTCGAATTCTCCCTCCTCTTCGGTCGTGGCGTCTTGGTACTGCTGGTATTCAGACACCAAGTCGTTCATGTTGGACTCGGCTTCGGTAAACTCCATCTCGTCCATGCCTTCGCCCGTGTACCAATGCAGGAAGGCCTTGCGTCGAAACATGGCAGTGAACTGTTCCGACACGCGCTTAAACAGCTCCTGGATGGCGGTCGTGTTGCCGATGAAAGTGGCCGACATCTTGAGGCCGCGCGGCGGTATGTCGCAAACGGCCGTCTTCACGTTGTTGGGGATCCACTCGACAAAGTAGCTGCTGTTCTTGTTCTGCACGTTCAGCATCTGCTCGTCCACCTCCTTCATGGACATCCGCCCTCGGAAGACGGCAGCCACCGTCAGGTAGCGGCCGTGGCGGGGGTCGCAAGCGGCCATCATGTTCTTTGCGTCGAACATCTGCTGCGTCAGCTCGGGCACCGTCAGGGCCCGGTACTGCTGGCTGCCTCGGGAGGTCAACGGCGCGAAGCCCGGGATGAAGAAGTGCAGGCGCGGGAACGGAACCATGTTCACGGCCAGTTTACGCAGGTCTGAATTCAGTTGGCCAGGGAACCGTAAGCACGTCGTGACTCCAGACATCGCCGCCGAAATCAGGTGGTTCAAATCTCCGTAGGTTGGAGTGGTGAGTTTAAGGGTTCGGAAGCAAATGTCGTACAGCGCTTCGTTATCGATGCAGAATGTTTCGTCCGTGTTTTCGACGAGTTGGTGAACCGACAGTGTAGCGTTGTAAGGTTCCACAACGGTGTCTGACACCTTCGGAGACGGCACAATACTAAAGGTAACCATAATACGGTCGGGGTACTCTTCACGAATTTTCGAAATGATGAGCGTACCCAGGCCGGCCCCTGTGCCCCCTCCCAACGAGTGGGTGATCTGGAAGCCCTGCAGGCAGTCGCAACCCTCAGCCTCCTTCCTGACGACATCCAGCACGGAATCTACAAGTTCCGCCCCTTCGGTGTAATGGCCTTTGGCCCAGTTGTTGCCAGCGCCGCTCTGCCCGAAAACGAAATTATCCGGACGAAAGATCTGGCCGAAAGGGCTCGACCTCACAGAGTCTATCGTCCCCGGTTCCAGGTCCACGAGAATGGCTCGAGGAACATACTTGCCTCCTGTCGCTTCATTGTAGTACACGTTGATTCGCTCCAGCTGCAGGTCGGAGTCGCCGTGATAGCAGCCTGTCGGATCAATTCCATGCTCGTCGGAAATTACCTCCCAGAACTTGGCTCCGATCTGGTTACCGCATTGGCCGGCTTGAAGGTGAACGATTTCACGCATTGTTTATGGTAATTGGGTGTAAAATCTTGTAAGAAAGTTAAATAAATATAAATTCGGAGCAACCGATAAACGATTACGTTCCGAAGTAACCGATCGTGGCTTTCACTACCGGGTCTTATTCGAATTGAGTTAAACAAATCCAAGGCAACCACTTTCAACTGTTGTTCAAGATAATTGAAGAACCGACAATGAAATTTATTGTCAACATGCTCACATTGCAACGTACGTACACTTATATAATTTATGTGATTATGTATCTAAACTCAGTCAGTCTTAACTCTTAGAAGCAAGGTTACAGAGAAATGGGTAATTAGAATAATACTTCATTTTATACATCTACATATTTAACACTAACGGTTTTCGTTTAGAAAGAAATTTGAACATTTTTTTTTCCTTCGTGATTTTTGCTTTAAATGGAAGATACGTATCCTCACGGTACACGATTTCCGCAATCCTAATTTACCCACAAACTGTTCTTCAATGTTCAGTATTGTGTCACTTATCTTCATTTGTAAGCGAATTTTAGAAAGTTTTTAATATTGTAATATTTTGAAGCAACCAGGTACATGATATACGCGATAGTTCTTTCGTAAAACATGCATTCAGAGATCATGGATGAGATTGCTCCTTTCAAGAAATGTTTCAAGAAAGGTACACCGAAGTGTTATTTATAATTTCAGTTGACTCAAGTATGTAATGAAATCAATTGCCTACAAAGTTTTCATGAATGTCTTTGGTCACTCTCACGTATTTTTTGTTATAATTTGACTTGGCTATATTGATGCTTTTATAATTCCAGTTTGTTGTTTTGTTCTGTGACTTCATTCTGATGTCTTAATTTAACTATGATGGTTTTTTTCTAGAAGCAACACAATGTAAACTACAGTAATGATTGCCAAATGACGTAGTTTCAGTAGCTGAGCGTTAATTAAAATGTTGAATCAAAATGTTTTCAAGTCAGAAAGCAAGTCTGAATACAGTTTACGTATAATGCAACCTAGCAAGCAAGATCGAGTGCTATTATATGTAAATATATTGCGAATGAGTATTTTTTATTAATTTAAAGAAAATTAATGCGTATAAATACTATTTTCCTTGTCAACTATTTAAACTCACGGCCGACTGTAATCCCAGAACCAGCTGCAATTTCCAAACAAAACCGCTTTAATTGTTGGAAATGAATTAGTGACTACATGGGCGAAAGTGATCATTCGATTTTTTTAAATAATTACTTTAAAAGTAAGCATATCTTCGTTATGGAACCAAATTTTGAAGGTTTCTAATAACTCATGCTACGCGGTGACAGTACCCTCCCAAAATGCAATGAACATTCTCATTTTTGTAAATTATGGCTTAAGGAATAAACTCTTGACTGAAACGCAACTTAACACCAAGTTAAAAACGATTGTAACATGTATTAAACATAAAGCATGTTGCGGGTAACTTTTTATCGTGCATTATATTTTGAGAAATTCTAATTTTTTTTAAAACTCGCAACTCCAAATTGGTAAGACATTGTGTTTATTATTTTATTAATTTATTGTTTATTTTTCTACCATAAAGTAAAAACTAAATCACTAGAAAGGGTAAACAATCAAGTTACGCCTAGGCAAAGAAACCATCAGAGTATTTTCTCAATAAATCGCCGTAAACTGGAAGAAACATTTAACCTAGAAGTGGAGTTAATAATCCAATAAGTCTTTCTTTGAGTCTCGAAGGAGGAGGATTTCAAAACTTGGTACAGAGCTGTGAGAAATTCAGTCTCTCTTTGCAGAATTGTAGCGGCCTGCTGCTCTGATCGGTATTGATTGATTAGTGATTCCGAGTGGATCAACAGTTAAGGTTATTAGTAGCGTAAGTGTTATATTTGTTGTTTTTTTTACCGTGAGAGGTGGCTCTGACCCAAGCCGGAACCAGCTCTAAACTCCCGACCTGTCCCCAGCATGTACGGTAGTGTAGTGCATGTTAGTGTAAGTTCCTCTTCTGTCCAGACACCGCAAGATAGCTCTGATGATGATAGCTACGCTGTTCAAATGAGTTTAAACTTAAACATATATTTGATACCGCATAACACCTTTTATTTATTCAACCACTCTAAATAGTTCTATCTTGAAGCTTTTTGAATGGATTGAGATAAATGCACTAAGAAATATATATTCAAGTACTACTATTATTTTACAAGACCTACAAATAATGTGAGATAGACGTGCTGTGGTGTAGCACCAGTAGTTAAAAGTATATTTAGTGCTATTTAACAAAAAAGGTGAATAAATCCATGTTAAAGGCCCGTTGTCGTTTCTGTCATATCTTCAGTTCGTGGGAGTACTTATAGCAAATTGCGAGAAGTGTTTGCATGGTTGCTCACCTCGGTTCTTGCAAACCGGCCACACGAGACCTGCTGGGTACCCGGCCACCCGGCAAGGTAATAATCTAGTGCCAAGACCCATCACCTAATCCACATTAAGCCATTAAGTGAGTAGTCAGCGTGGCAATTAATGACGATGGAAGTTGAGCACCCACTCCCTGTCCTAGGCGCCGGTAAATAAAGAACAAGATTGTCGATATTTTGGATTCTAAGGAAGGAGCGATCTCAAGAACATACTCTATTATGTTCATAGGTCCATTCTAAATAATGAGGAAATATATTTCTATTTAATAAAATATACTGTAAAAATTAAAAGTAAGAGCAGTGGTACCAATACGCATTGCTAGGCCATTGCCTGAGCCTCTCGACAGACAGGGGTTACAACGACATAATTTTTTTAAACCTTTTTTACAATCTCGTATATGTACGTATATACGGAGTAATATACGTAGTATAGAGAAAGTTATATAAAGCTGCGGGAAATCGATTTCAAAATTTCAGCAGAAAAACACGTTTTGGTATCCCCTGAACCGAAAAAGTGTTGATTTTTTTTCAAAAAGCATGTCTGTTCCACTGTAAATACCACAAGCGCCTAAACCATAGACAGGCTTCATCTTTTAACAATACTTCACACGTAAATTTCCGCTCCTAAAGGTACTGCAGAGTCCTCAAAAGCATATTTCAAGTATTAGGATATTCTGTTTTATTTTATATTTTTGTTATAACTAGTCCTCGGATTTTAGGACAAATGGCTATTTACTTTCTTTAAGAGGTTGTGCAAAATAATTGCAGATCATGAAAAAATACATCCACTAAAAGCATTCAACAGTGCCTAAAATTTCCTAAAAGAGCGGTTAATGAGGATTTTGACATTTTTGGGCTAAAACTGCTCATAACAAGTAATTTTGAAAAATTATATTTTCATCACTCTTTTTTTCAATTTTTCATAAATTAAAAAAATACCAAGGCGAAAATGTTTCCACGAATTTCAAAAACATAAGAAGCTCTGCCAATCTTTTTTTGAATTTTGAAAATTTTGAACTTTTACAATTTTTGATAAATCAGGGTTTTCAACAAGTATGAGACCTGCACCATCCTCTTAAACGTCTTTCACACTATCCATAAAAAATAATCAAAAATGATGGAGCCATTTTTTTGATATTTTGGAAAGTATCCCTGGTGCTTCATGTAAAATATCCCCCAAAATTAAAATATCGGTTTCAAATTCAAAGGACCGCCGGCATAACATAACTTTATATTTAATCCTTAGTGAGAAAGTAAAAATAATGTTAAATCAAACTAAAGTTTAAGATGAATTAAGGTGGATTAAAGATAATTACATCCGATGCTTTCAGTTTCTTTCGAACTTAAGAGTATATAATACATGTTCCTAACTGTGTGTTCATGACTACAACACGACTAATAAGGTAGTAAGGGAAAGAAGAAAAATTAAGCTTTATCTCATGTTAAAAAGTGTGCAACTAATTTGAGACATTTGTAGCAAAGTAAGAAATTGCTCTTGTTTCAAGTATCCTTCAAACAAGGTCCATTGAAGTTAATCAGCTCTAGATTCGGATTTTGACTTTATTTGTAACTTGTTTTCATAATATGCTTATTTTTAATATCTACGTTTGAAAAACGTCCACTAAATTCTTTTCTCTGGCCACTTTTACGACATAATTTACAATATTTGACTTGGAACTAGTCACTGATCAGACAGATCGTTTAATAATCAATTTATAGGAAATGATCGACATGAACGAAAAAATTCAACTACCATCTCATCTCATTTTAATTAATCCATTGCGTAATACCATTTTTCAGATATTTTCGATAAATGTGGTCTTTAAAATCTCAAATTACGCTGTTTATGATTCAGTCGCGCCCCACCCTACGTAGTTTAAGAGACAGAAATCGTCTAACGCATCTTCTTATGTGAAGTTACTTGCCGGCCCCACACATTTTTCAGATTTTTAGATGAAGTTGTCAGGGGTCTCCAAGTGTGCCTCACGCCGTCACCCTGGTGTGTTGCTAAACTGGCTGGCTGTGCCCGACAAGAACTTCGCCGGAGATATATGAATGGGAAACAAGGGCGAAATGTGTATGTAGTGTACTGTACGTATGCGAGACTGCCTCTAAGCTCCCACTACAATACTACCACTACTACAATACCAACTGCCTCTAAGCAATAGCGCAGAAGCGTCATATTGATTACATTGTGTTTCCATGCTCGTCAACTGCCATGATCATTGGCCCCGCAAGTGTAGTGGATGCAATTTCCTTTATATTCCGAGAAGGGGCCGGTCTTCATCTCCATCTGGGACGTCACATCCGGCACCGACCAGCAGTGTTTATCCCTTCTAATATCAATGCCATAACCCACAAAGTTATCATAGCAAAGTTTTCAAAAAAATATTGACATTATACTCAACGTTTATCGCCTTTTTGTTGAAAATTTGCAACGCAAAAAAAGGCGCTCTTCATTTGACCCTGTTATTAAACATTCGGCTAACTTGACATCGAGTTAGCACTGCAATAACAAGAAAATTTATTTTAATTATCTCGATTGACTTTACTACGAAGTATTAATTGATATACTACGAAGTACTTTAGGCCAGAAAATTTGAAATGGATA